GAGATGAGGAACAGGATGGGCCGACAAAGATCCCTAGGCCACCCTGTGGGATAGGAATGGGGTAACCGAGCCATCACTTATCACCTGCTTCCGACCGCTCAGGTAGTTCCGGAAGCATTCCATTCCGGGTCTACTGGCCCACTGCGCATTAAGGCTTTGGCACCAGTGACGTCACGCTGGCGTTAATGAATATCACACGAAAATCACCGGATGGTTTGAAATTTATAATGCGGTTTTGGACTAAAAAACGTCCTGTGAAGTTTTCGTTTGGGAACAGGTTGTCCCTCTCGGCGTAGTACTTTGCTTCACTTTGCCTTACGATGGGGACGGGGCAGAGCCCCCAAGATCTCGAGAATTAAGCAAGCTAGAGCCACGGAGAAATAATATTGATAATCTCCATTCGCTAAACAATGCTGATTGGGACTATTGGCGGATCAGCTCAGATCGTAGTAGTAAAACTGGCAGGCTATGGACTCCTCCTGTTATCTCAAGAACTAAACTTGCCACCAGAATACAAAAAAGGTCATTAGACGGGCCTTGAATAGTTTTATATCATAGGCACACCCTGTACATGCGCCCCGGTGGCCGGCGAGATACCTTTCCCTCGGGTGGGCTGGGGTTCAGTTTGACCCCTCCCCTGAGATCTCGAGAACTAGAAAAATTAAATACATCGCATTTACAGGGTGTGTTGACCTGTACGTGAATCCGCTTAGGTCAGTGTTTGAGCTTCCTGGGTCGTGACCTTCAGGTTAAATAAAGTCAAACAAGGTCAAATTCCAGATTGGTCTGTAGAGTGCCCCAGAACCTGATTAACTGTTTCTAAACAAAAGGACACAAGCCCCTTTGAGGTCAGTGAACTTGTTTGACCTTTCGAAGGTCATAGTGACCAAATCATGCAAGACTGCTGCAAGACTGAGTTTTGCATTTGAATAAGCGACAAATATCACGCTGGGCAGTATGCTCCCAAAAAAAGAAGTTGATCCGGGCCATCTTAGGCCAATGACCTGTCCTGACCTCTCAGAAGTCAATGGAAGACGTATAAGGCGGTTCCTGCTGTCAATAAATTGGAAATGAGCACCACAAACTATCCCATACAGCAAGCCCTAGAGTAATAAATCAGGTTGATTTTGACCTTGGTCTGACCTTCATACCTGACCTTAGGTCAACGTAATTTGCTCATTCAATATTTGTGGTGCCCAGGAAAATTTCTCAGAGATGTATGGCTTCGTCAAACTCTCCCTTGTTGTACCCGATTGGACGATTCCCTAGGAATTGCCTTCGCTGGAAGCATGTCCTGACTTTGACCTGCCATAGGTCAACAACCTTACAAGGTGCATATAAATTTGTTACGTCAAACGATCTGCTATTTATCTGTCTACAACTATGCAAAATTTGGCGCGGCTTCGCCGCGCCGTTCGGAAACCATTCTGAAAAAGCCCTTCGGGAGGGTCTGTTTGACCCCCACCCGAGCGCATGTTAATGGAGGCCAATGCATGTGATAGACGATATGCCATTTTAGGGCTAAAGGAATGATGGATATTGCTGTGTAGCTCTGCGTAGCTATATCAAGAACCTAACGAGCCACATCAATGGCAAGAACCACGTCAGGAAGACTTTCTGAAATTGTAAGATGTGTGTCATTAAGCTTTAAATGGAACAACCTTCAAACGGTGAAATCTCGCCTCAAACTTAAGCATAGTAATACATTTGCAAACTTGTAAGCTTGTTTGTAAACTTGGCTTGGCCTTGGATGACCTGGCCATACGGAAGCTACCATAGCGATGTAAATACACGTCAGAGTGATGCAAATATGAAAAATGGGACACGCATCCTCTTTGGAGTGCATTGCTTGCGATAAATGAGCGTTAGTCGTGAATTTTGAGCAAAACGTTCCCAACATGATTTCGAGAAAGTAAGGAGGTAGACGATAAACCGTCAAGGTGAAGACATCCAAATTTTTACATAAATTTTTGCATTGCATGGTTGTGACGTAGCTACCCAAAATGTCTGCACGCTCAGACCGGTTCAAGAGTTACTCCAGAAATACCTCAGCGGGGCCCCTGAGGCCCGCTGCGTGGGGAAGGGCTTAAGTGGCCTGACAAAGTCTTTCTGCGATGCGACGGCAGAACGGCCCTTCAAGCGCTAGGGCTACCCGTCCCTACATAGCTCAGTCGGTGGGTAGCGTCGGGCACTGGCCAATGTGCGCCATGCATGTAAGTCCAAGTCCGAGTAACCGCGTGTGTGACGGTTTCAGCGAAGCAATTTCTTGAGAATCCTTCAATCTGATCCAACAACGGAGTGTTAGACGAAGCCATACCTCTCTTAGAT